GTTGGTGTCTCCCCCCCCCCCCCCCCCAATAAAACAGTCAGAAGTACTGGTCTAGAAGAGTTGGTTGTTGAGAAATGGTTACATTATTTTATTATGAGTTACACACCTAGGAGAATCTTACTATCTGAAGGGGTGTTGTATTTATTTTGTCACATGATACACATCTTTGATACATAGTTTAATGATCTCACTTTTGAAGCAAAATGAAAGCTAGCAATAGGATGAATAAGCACATTATAAGATAATCATGATGAACTTGCTGATAATGTTTGGTTTTGTCCCTCAGACTATGTGGGATAAGGTAATTATAAAGTTATTTTTTGCATAGTACATAAATTAACTTTCTTTGCTCCAGAGCTTAATAAGTTGTTTGGGCTGTTTGGTTGTTTTTTGGTGGGTTTTTTTTGTGTGTGTGTCTAGGAATATATGGATTGAGCAATTCTTTGTTGGATACACCGTGGAAGAAACTTCAGTATGGGAAGCAGCTTTTCACAGAAGTGGTCAAGAGAAGTCAAGACCTTACCAAAGAAGACTTGGTGCAGGAGCTTCTTACAGTGATGAATAATCAAGAGCCGTAAGAACATGATAGCCAGAGTTTACTCAGAATTTGATATGACAGTTTGAAAATTGCATACAGAAACTATTTTGACATAAAAGAAACTTTAGCCTTATATTAATTGACTAAAGGTGGGTAATGAAAGGCAAAAGGAGTGTTCTTTCTCGCCACAGAGGCTGACTTTCAACAATATTGATTTTTAAGCAAGACACAGTAAACATTATTACTGTAGTCTTAGTACTCATAGACTATACGCTGATTTCTCTGTGCCCTTTTCGTTTAAAGATTGCACTTCTCTTAGTAAGGGTAATGAGTGCAAGACAAGGGATGTGTTAAGTTGCTTGCTGTAAGCTTTGTGGATGCTCACTATAAGGTAAGGTTCAGTTTCTTACTGCACACAGAGTAAGCGCTTGTTTACATAGAATCATAGAATAGAATCATTTAGGTTGGAAAAAACCTTTAAGATCATTGAATCCAACCATCAACCATGCCCACTAAACCATGTCCTGAAGTGCCTTGTCTATGCACTTTTTGAATACCTCCAGGAATGGTGACTCAACCACTTCCCTGGGCAGCCTATTCCAATGTCTGACATTGTAAAGTAAAGACAGTAAAGATGTCTTTACTTTAGTAAAGTCTCAGTAAAGACATTTTTCCTAATATCCAACCTAAATCTCCCTTGCCACAACTTGAGGCCATTTCCTCTCATCCTATCTCCAGCCACCTGACAGAAGAAACCAGCACCCACCTCACCACAACCTCCTTTCAGGTAGTTGTAGAGAGCAATAAGGTGTCCCCTCAGCCTCCTTTTCTCCAGACTAAACAACCCCAGTTCCCTCAGCTGCTCCTCATAAGACTTGTGCTCCAGGCCCCTCACCAGCTTGGTTGCCCTTCTCTGGACACACTCCAGCAACTCAACATCTGTCTTGTAGTGAGTGGCATAAAACTGAACGCGGTACTCGAGGTGCGGCCTCACCAGTGCCGAGTACAGGGGGACAATCACCTCCCTGCTCCTGCTGGCCATGCTATTTCTGATGCAGGCCAGGATGCTGTTGGCCGCCTTGGCCTCCTGGGCAAGCTGCTGGCTCATATTCAGCTGGCTGTCAACCAGCACCCCCAGGTCTCCTGCTGGGCAGCTTTTCAGCTGCTCTTCTCCAAGCCTGTAGCGCTGCATGGGGTTGCTGTGACCCAAGGGCAGGACCTGGCACTTGGCCTTGTTGAACCTCATACAGTTGGCCTCAGCCCATCAATCCAGCCTGTCCAGATCCCTCTGTCCAGATCCCCCATGAGCAGATTTGTGTTAGTAGCTGCTAGCTATTCTGTGTTCCTACCCAGAGTGTAGACAGAGGGTGGAGAAGCAAGCTATTTTCAGAGTTGAACCAGCTGCCTTCCTCAAAAGTGCAATTGGTTTAGCCTAAATGGGGGAAGGAGAAAAGGGGAGTATTTGCACAGTTCAGCTGTAGGCCTCTGGTCAAGGAAGTTCCCAACAGATGAGTATCTAAATAAGGTTCCTGCACTCACTCACTACTGGCTACACAGTAAACCTCAGCCCATAACCTAGATCTTTAGAAGTAAAGGAAATTTTAATGCCAACATTCGTGCTTGTGGCATTTTTCAGTGGTTCAAAATAAATGTTTACACAATGACTCAGACATCTGAGCAATGAGTAGTAATTGGGAAGTCTACTAACCTGTCTTAATTACTTTTTTCATCTGAAAGAAGATCAAGTGATTTTGTAAAAAAAATTGTTAAACCTTTGTCTTTTTACTAGCAAAAGGTAAAGTATAAGATACAATACAGTCCAAATGATCTTCCCTTAACATTCAGTAATTCAGCATGATCTCATCTGAAGTCATCTGACTATAAAATGGAAATGTTTACTTACAAAAAGCAATATTGAAAACTAAGTCTGTAATCTTTCCAAAGCATGCTTCAAGAATAAATGATCATTTCATAATAAATATGAACACATGGATATGCACTAGCTCTGAACTTTCTTAAAATATCTTATTGCATATCACTTTATGATCACTTTGTGTGTGTTACAGGAATTAAGTGGGTACAATGGTTGGTTTACTCTTAGAATTCCCTTCTTTCCTGCTGGATACAGGTTTTTTGTCCTTTAGCCCCTCTCTTCTGCTTCAGCCCTGCCTTTGACTGTGATCTCAGGGATGTACTGCAACTCCTTCCAGTCTCCTTAAAACTGCTTGGAGTTAATAACTTGCTGTTATTAAGCTGGATAGCAGCCGGTTGTGCAGAGCATACAAGAACTGCCAGTGGTGGAGTGTGAAATAGAAGCTGACAACTCTCACGGGCTGAAGTGCCCTGCTATGTGCCTTCTCTGTTATATTGTGATATGCTCCAGCCATATGCCCAATACAGGAGTCAGAAGAGCTTAGTTGCTCTGTTTACACTAGAATTGCACCTAATCTTGCTTCTCCCTGAAACACCCACAGGTCCTCTTCTCCACCACAACAACAAAGAAAATGATCCCAGTTAGATGTAAAGGTCAGTTACAGTATAATAAATTGCACAGTCTCATCTACAGATCAGGATGAGCTCTGAAAATGGGCTTGAATTCATCAGTCTGTTTTGTTCTGCCCTCTTCCCCAACATTCACTGTACAGCTGATAGGCTGCTGAATTATTATTATTATTTAATAGGTACAACTGTGTCTGTGCTAGGAGGTAGAAATGGGAGTATTTCTTGAAGATGGAAGAAGCTTAAAAATCAAACACTGAAACCTGCTATAATAATAGTTAAATTGGATTTTGATAAATAAAATTGGAATCTTTAATTACTGAAATAGGAAGCTGTACTTGCGGCTAGCATTTGAGAATATGTTCTGGTGATGTGAATGGAAAGCCAGGGATGTAGGGTTGCTGCAGTAACCTTTGTGACCTTAGCATCTCTTCTGTGGGATGCAGGTTCTTGTTTAATTACAATAAATGGAGCTTGATATGCTTTATAATAAAATTAAGCTTCTAAATATCTTTCAAGCTGTGATAGGAAAATATACCAAGAAATTTGTGTGTAAGCTTACCTTGTATTCTGCTGCATCTTCACAAATTTTATTTGAAGGATTGTCCCAGGTATTTTCCAGGTATTCCAAATAAGATTGAAGGAAGCAGAGAGGTCTGTCTTTAATACAAAAAGAACTCCTAAAGTCTAACTGGAAAAATGCTGGCTTATGTGATGTGCCTCAAATTACTTGATCATTAATGTTTTAATTGAAACTAAAATACAGAAAGATAGACAAAGAATAATAAGGAAAGTGAAAAACTTGTCAAGATATGAAAAATATTTCTTAAAGTGAGACAAAAGTTCAAGAGCTTGAAAGAATCTCTTTGGGAAAGAGCTTACAAGCTGTTTTATCTTTGATTTTCCTCATACTTTAGTTTTGAACACAACTCACACTCTTGTACTTTTTTGAAAAGTGATTGTTATTTATCAACCACTTGGTCAACACAGCTTCGTTCAAGAGGGATGAATGTGTTAATATTGGAGAATTCTATCACTTTTTTTTATTATGTTACTACTTTTTTTCAGTCAATTACCAGACCCTGCAATTGAAGACCAAGGGAAGGATTATATACGTCCTATATTGAACAAGTATGCAGCTGTATGTGTTCGTTGCCCAGGTTATGGAACAAGGTAAAAAAATCATAGTCAGAAATAGATGTGTACCGGATCAAAGCATATCTCAAATCAAAATTATGCTGCTATAAGTTTTAATTCTATAGTGACTGCTTTAAATTTGTTCAGATATTAATCAAGTGTAATTCAGTGAAGTATTTCCTTGCTCAGTATTCTGGTGTCTTAGATTTGCTACTGATGAGCATTTTAAGCACACATTATAATTTGTATTTGGTGGGGAATGTGACATATTTTCAGTTTGTCCAAGACAAGATAATACAGTTCTGCTTCTCCACTGTAGCAGCAGATCTGACCACCTCTAATTTTGATCTTATCAAAACATGAAAAGCTTTGAAAGCATGTTTTTAGCAGAAAAACACAATTATCTTCTATATCTGTGGAACCGCAGAACACATTTCTCTTCCAAGAGCAAGAATGTGTCATCTGCATAGCTAATACGTAGCTGCCATTTTCATACATTAAAAACCTATTACTCTTGTTCAAAAGAACATGTATTTCCACTTTCCCCTAACTGATGCTGCTGTTTTTACTGAGATATTCTCACTTTCTGCTCAGACTGTTCTACCAAAGCTGTAAGAAAAATAGAATAATGTAATGCATCTTGCATTTAATCCTCGATGGGACAAAATTGTAGGTGAACCCTGGTGCTGCTGGTAGGGAATTCCTACTCTAAAAGTGTGCTAATGATTTTGTCAGATTGGTCTCTGGCATGGTCAGCCATAGCATTTACATTGTAGAGATGTAAATTGATAAGCAGAGAGCACTCACTTCTAAGTATTTTAAGTTGGTATTCTGAGAAAGAAACCACTACAAAAGCTGAGTATCTCTATAAAATGTATTCAAAGAACATTTTAAATATGGGATAATGAAGACTTAAAATGGTAAAGAAGCATCTTCCTCCCCTTGCTTCACAGGTTGCAGGCCAGCTATTTCAAAGGAACAGGGATAACTCAGTAGAAATACTGACCTCTTACTGGTGAATTAACACTGTATTTCAAGTCTTCCCTGCTACTAGAATTGTACACTCACACTTATCTTTCCCTTAGCAACATGGCTTAGTGAATAGAGATTGTTAATTATGCCTCACGATATTCTTCTGAGGAAATGAAGCACTTTTTTTATATGAGTGAACAACTGTGAAGTGACTTGGGGAAGCCCACCATGTCAGTGATCTTTCTCTGGCGGGCTACTGCAGCGTCCATAGAGAAATGACAGCTTACACATGACAAAGTGGCATAGATGCATGAATGGAATCTGGTTTTCATGAAAACAAATTTCCTCTTTGGAAGGTTTCTAGAGAGAGTTTTTCTGTGGTTGTGTAGCAGTGTCCTATGATAATAATTAACTATGTTTGAATCTTAATGGACAATTGATTTGAAAGGAAAGCATGAAAGACTACTATTGATATGAATAACCCATCACGGTAAGTGTAGGCTGTGAAGAAAAACTTGGTTTTATGCTACTTCTGAATGGAACGCTTGGCACTAAAAAAGTATAACCTTTATCATACTCTCTGTAAATGAGCAGCTTTGTGTGTCAGCTGCTGCAAGTGCAACAGGGAATCAGAGCAGTGGAGTGACAGAAGAAGGGACTGAAAATGCCCAGTTGAACTTGCCAGGATGATTTCTGCCCTGCTAGTGTGGTGATGATGTGGTCAAGAAAAAAAAATGAGCTAAAATCTTTGGGGATGAGGGATGGGACCCTGCAAATTTATATAACGGACACAAGGCTTAACCTTCTACCCTTATGTTGTTTCAGGACTAACACGGTCATTCTCATTGATTCAGAAGGACGAGTTACTTTCACAGAGCGCAACATGATCAATGCAGATGTCAGCCAGTGGAAAACAAGCACCTATGAATTCAAACTGCACACTTAACAACTTTCCATTGGAATGGTTTGTAATAATAGCAATGAGAGAACAAGCCATTAAGCTCTAGTAAATGTTTTGTGCCAGCCTCCACAAGCTGAAAATAGCAAGGAAAGCAAAAGTTTAAATAAACTGGTAGCATACCCTATCAGGCTCGCAAATCCTTTGGATAAAACCAAAAGAAGAAAACCGTTTTTACATTAAGTAGGAACTCATAATCAGAAATAATTTTTTAAATATCACCCTGCCTCCAGGGCAAGGTCATCTTTGCCCAAAACAGTCATTGTTTTTTGTGGGTGGTGTTGTTTTTTTCTTCTTAAAGATGTTTTAGTAGACTCTTAAACATGTTTTCAGTTCTGAGGGGGGGAAACATTTGCTGCTTTTATTGTTCTATATGAAGGTTTTACCACACTTTGCTTTCCCTTCAACATATGCTTTTAAGATTGTATAGCTGATGCTAATGTGTGTCATATGAATGTATGTTATCTTTGTAGCATTAAGTGCTTTAATAACATTTAAACTTTTTAGCAGTGCCATGGTACGATGTTCTGCCTGGGGAGGGCAAAGCACGGGGCATTCTTTACATTTGTTTTCCTACAGATAGTACAGCAATACGTCTTATTTTTAAAACTTGATCTGAGAGTAGATAGGAAATGTAGTTTAGTGTCTGTTTGGTATTACTGAAAAAATCATGGGAGCAGATTTGCTTATCTTTGACCGGAATAAAATTATTTATATTGTGACATCCTGTTTCCTGATAGTCTAATTAGCAATATTGGTTTTCTTCTTTTCTTCCCCAGCAGGCAGATAAGGTACAGGTATCTGTTTGCAAAGAGAAGCTGAATATGAAGTTTACACATATCAGCTGGTTTCTACATGTCCAATTTTGGCTTCATTTCTTTATTGGTATAATATATTAAAGCCCAGAGTGACTGCTCATAGATTTTCTTTTTTCTTTTTTTTTTTTAGTAAAAATAGCTATTTGTTGCAAGGTGACATTATTGTGGTCTTATCACTGAAAAAGTTGGGTATTAAGATGCACTTTGAATGTTCTAACACCTGTGAATTAAAAAGCTATTTAAATGCATGCTTTTTTCAATTATTCAGTGCCAGTATAGGTGATAAAGGATCTTGATATTAGCTAGAATCTCCTAAAACCCTAAGTTATTTTGCTGCTATTGGTGTTCTGTTTTCACTTATTTTGAATGCTGAATAGGAAGTTAGTAATGGATCACTGCTATTTTTTCTATATATGCTGAATGTTATTCTTTTTATAAGCCTCTGATTATTAATTAATTATTACAAAGTAGCAAGATTTCTGATATTCTTTACAAAGATGTGCAACTATTCTTCTGTACTCAAGCTTGTGTGTTTGAGCATTCTCACGTACGTGTGTGTGTGTGTGTCTGTAATGGAGGTAGCAGTAAATTAGACTTGCCATTGAGGTGAAGTATTGTGAAAGGCTATTCCCAGATTTGTAATTGCCAGGAGATGCTGAAGCAGCATTTAGTCAATTACTTCCTTTGTATTTGCATATTTAAATAGCTTCTAGATACCAGGACTGCTTGCATGACTAGTCACAGGTTGTTGATTCAGTACTATATAAATGACTTTTTGACCACTTTGATTGCAAGAAGATCAATACAGTCTTGTTGGATTGTACATGGTTTCAAACTTGGAGCCTTCCAGATCGTCTTTCTGAGCTGTAGGAAATGGTTAGTCCTTTTTTGATGACTGTTTAAATCATGTATTTGTATGAGTAAAAAATGTTATTGTTATTTTTAGATGCAAAGAAATAGCCATAGCTGTCTTAAATTTTAATTTTACAAATGCATATTTTAAAACAAAACTCTGCTTTGATGGCTTGCTCTTACTGAGAGTTTGCATAGCAGACTTTTTTTATATCTTAAGAAAAAAATCATCAGTGTGTAGTTGAACAACACATTCTCTTTGAAGACATTACCTAATTGGCAATCAAAATGGTTGCATGCTGTTTCATGCTAAAAGCATTTATAAACCTTAGGTTTTATAGTAGTTCTGTAACAATGAAAACTTATTCTTACTTTTTATATCCAGGCAAAAGAAAAGCAAGTCAGAGGTTAGATGTAAAAACAGATGATAATGATGTATTTTGCTTTGCTTGAATCAAAATTCCAGATCTGGGACTTGCTTTTTCTGACAATTAAAATAAACAGTAAATAACTAAAACCTCTGATGTTAATTTTTATTATGTGAGAATAGTTAATAAAGTGAGCTTTTTTAACTTCTTTTGAAGCTTATGAGAGTTCTGTCACTGGCTTCAGTGGAAACAGGATCAGGACTGCAGTGCAGATATCAGCAAATGGTGCTTGTCCATAGAAATGATCAGGTATTCATGAAGTGCCTAATTTACTGTATGCAAATTATAGTTGTAATGAATCCACTGGAAAAAGTAAACTGTAGCTAAAGTTCAAGTATTTTATTTTTACAAAAGTATTTTTAAGAATAAAAGGGGACTTTTAAATATTAGTTTTAAAGGATATAAAGGAAAAAAGTATGTGGAAAACTATTGCACAGTATTTTACTAAATTTGCTTATATATAACATCTTTTCAAAGTCATAAATTTGCAAGAAATTTCTGGTTCCTGTCTTTTCTATCAAAATGGTAGCAGAAGAAATTTTAAAATATCTGTAAAAACTCAGTTATATTTTTTTTGCTTAAAATTGTTTCATAATTGTTGTTTACATGTGTGTTCAAAACCTAGAATCAGAATAAAGTCAATCTGGTGACCAGTCTTTGTCAACATTAATAGATTGTGCATTTTTGCACATATGTTTATGTTAATTTGCCTGTAACTTTGTGTGGTAAGATGAAGTAAAATCTTTCATGAGGTATTAGCAATGCAAGAGCTTTAAGTCAAGTCTATTTCTGGTACTTAATTCCTTTTTAAGAGTGCTGTATTTTTCTGGGGTTTTTGTTTTGGGTTTTTTTTGGTGTTGTGGTTTGTTTGGGTTTTGGTTTTTTTGTTTGTTTGGTTTTTTTAATTCTATGCTGTTGCATGGTTATACTTGTCTTATCTAGGTAAGAAATTGGAAAATATTTCTTTAAAGCTAATAATCAGGTTTGGGGCATTTTGCTTTGTTTTCCAGGTTAGTAAACAATGTATTGACTGGAATGTTCCCAGACCAAGTGTCACAGTAATCAATTCTGTGAAATACTCTCCAACTTCTGACAACTACTATGTGCCCACCACCTCCCCTCCCAAAAGCAAATATCCTCTTGTTACTAGCCCTGCCTGGACTCCACTCCAAGCACAGTAAGATGAGGTAGAAAACACAAAGGTTCTCAAACACTGAATGTCTGAAACAATGTCTGGAGCGTCATTCTTCCTGCATGACCTCATGGTACTTGGAATCTGCCTTCTCCCTTGCAGACTGGAGTGGGTCCTTCAAATCTTAATACCTGGATGTGTCAAGCAAGCCCTTAAAGGAAGAGGGACTGGCATATTCTTGCCTATAAAGTGGTGGAGCAGTCTCAGAGCTAGTTTTAGCTTTACAAGCAGTGACCTTTTCAGACTGACAGTCACTTAGACAAGACAAGCAACTGGTATTGTCATTGTTAAGGTGGCAACCTAAATGGAATCTAGGGGAATTCCCCAAATCTGCAAAAAGAAAAGCTTTATTAACTCACAAGCCTCTAAAGTTGTCACTGCCAATTCTTGCCTATGCAACAAGATAAATTTGGTCTGGATTACTGGTCTTGAAACTAGGTGGTTGCATCAAATGTTTGTGGCAAGAGAAGTTATTAATTATCAGGGACCTTGAAAATTATTGCAGTGATAAATATGTTAAAAGTGTTTTGGGGGGGTCAGGGTCCCCCCCCCCCCAAAAAAAAAAAAAATTAGATAAATCGCAGCAGAAATACAGTACAGGTAATAGGAAGGAAAGAGCAAACCCAATGTTTCCTTAGTGAAAAGCCAGAGCCTCACAAAATGCTACTGAAGGGCAAGAATCCAGGTTCACTGTGGAAAAACTCTGGATCCTGGGCAGACCTGAGACTCTCTTGCTACACTGAGTTGAGACTACCTTAATGTTCTACCATACCTGGACATTATGGTCGAGATGTAATTGTCTTGTCTCCCTGTTACCAGTAGCTTTAATAAATACACTCTTAACAGACCAGAGAATGAGTTGGTCCTTAGGAGGTCCTCAGTATGTTCAAAGCTTAACTGATTTTATTGTTACAAATGAAATATACCAAACTAAATATTAAGACAAAATATTTATAAGATTTGGAACACTCTTTTCATAATATCATAAGGAAATAAGTAATTCCAAAATGAGTCGATGAAATACTAAGCAGTAATAAGGCAATAATTAAAACATCTTACATTTCAAATTTACCTTGAAGAACTTAAATCATGCACATTGGTGGCTTAGCAAGCTTCCCTATTTATATGGAATATTAGCTACTAGGAATTAGTTTTATATCATTCAGATTCATGTAATAGAACATTGCTAATGTTCTTTACCTGATTAATTTTCTGCAGAGAAATCTTGTTGATAGCCTCTGAGGATTTAGGAAATGGTCTTGACTTGGTGAAAATAGAATCTGTATTTGTAATCAACTGGAAAGGCAATAGAATAAACTGTGAGAATTATATAACCCATCAGTATGACTCATGCTGTGAAATGTAAGTTAAGGTGAACAGAGTGAAGAAAATGTTGAATATCTAAAATTAATATATAAAGTAACTATATATTTCTGGAACAGCCTGTATCAAGAACTTAGAAACTGAATGAAAAAGCACTATCAGATTAAAGTACTTAAATTTACTGTATCTCTTAAAACCGAAGACATAAGGACTGAACTTAGGATCATACATGATGGAGAAAAATAATAATTAATGTAAACTTTTAAGTAGGATGGGCAAGGTTTACTATCTAAGTCATATACAACATGAATAAGAAAAAAACAATTTCTCTGCTGATTCACATTAAATTTTTGTCTCTTTGTACTAGAAAGATAAACAGAGAAAAACAAATGCAAACTAAAAACAGATCAGAAATTGGAGAAACAAAGTGGAGGAGAAGGCCATACTTAATTTAGTAGAGAACAAATATAATGAAGAAAATCCATTACCTTGAAAGATGTTCTGAAGATTATCTGCAAAAGCTCAAATGGAAAAGGAGTGGCTATTTTACAAGTAGACAAAGATGGACAGTATAGCTTTAAGATATGTAGGCTACATCAGGAATATTTACTAGCACTCTGAGACCTTTATTCTGAGACATGAAGTTTTGTGTGGCCTGACTAAGCTACTGTTTTATATATATATATAGATATAAATATATTATAGATTTATAAATTATATCTAAAATATATATTTACATATATAAAAATATATTTACAAAGGATTTGGTAGAGAATTAAGAATCATCATCAGAATGGAGTACCTGTTCTAATATAACTTGCATTCAACCATGCCAAAAAGGTCACTCTCCATAGAGAGTTCTGTAATGTATTGCTAGAGAGTGAATGTTTTTAGAAGTGGTTGCAACACAAAGGTAAAATAAACAGCAAGCAGGACTGCAGAGTTGAAGAATACTTGATAGTGACTTCAATGGAGGCATTAGGTTTAACAGGTGAGTAAAACAAAATAACCTCCATATTCTGAATATCTTTGCTAAAATGGTACCTTTTTCACCATGCATTTCATTGCATCTCAGTGATTTATCTTGTTTTCTTTCTTTGTGTCTTTACTAAATATAGCTTGAATTATCACATTACTCATTAAAACTGTAATATTTGCATTATTAAGTATTTGTGTCAACAGGCAAAACCTTGATTTTTCT